TATTATACCAAATCTTCTATATATTTCCCAATAATTTATAAATTCAAAATTTCAATATTTTTAACAGATTACACTTGACCACTGCACAGTTAATCACACATCCCTAATATCATATTATGTGAATAGTCTATTACATATCATTACTAAATGAAGTTCAATTATGTCAATAAAGCAACAACAACAACAACAAAAAGAAATGACTACAACTTGCCAATATCTTTATGGCACAAATTCCTTTTCATCAGTTTATCTATGTTGTTTATCAGTAAAATATCAACAAAAATTCTATAAAACAAAATAGAACACTATTCATTATATTTAATATTTCTTCTTTTCTATTCTATTAAATTAAATTATATATAAATTACATAAAATAAACATAAACATGCCAAGTTGAACTTCTGTTTAGTTCACTATTCTTCTTCTTATTATTATCATCATCATTTTCCTTTTTAAAAAAAGTTCTTCTTTAACGTTGTTGTTGTTGTTATCTTTTTATCTTATAGATTTTCTTTACTGTTTTTTCTCTCTGTTGTTTACAAGTGCTCACATAGTGCTAATAAAACTAAAACTAACTATTTTGTATTTATGATTTAAAAAAATCGTTCTTTTTCTCTTTCTTTTTTTTCTTTTTTAATCATTCATAAATAAATCTGTAGAATTGTCAAATTAATAAATAAAAAATATTTAAAAGATTGAATTAAAACTGAAATATTCTTTCTTTCTTTATTTTTTTCTTTTTTCTCTTTTTCTCTTTTTCTTTTATTAAAACAGAGCATAATGTTTCTCTATTTTTTTTCACTTCTCTTTTATTGTTTCTTTTTTCTATCTGGAATGTGAATCTACTCACATTATATTTTTAAGTCAATAGACACGTTCAATGTTTTTTTCTTTTGCAGTAAAGAATATTTCAATGGAATTTCTTTATTGAATTTTATAAATCATTCATTGTTTATCATTATTTATTTAATCTTAACTAAAACAAAAAGCTTATGACTTAATAGTAATATTGAAATTATTCTTTAAGAAAGTACATCGGAAAAATGTGAGAAATTCATTATATTCTCTAATATCAACAAAAGAAAGATATAAAGTCTTTCAAATCATAAATAATCATCCATTTTAATTATATAAGTTAATGATTACCTAGACTTATTAAATCAGTATATAATGCTTAAAGAGTTTAATATGGAAAGTATCATATTCATATCTGAATGTATACATCAATAATAAGATGCAAGTACATTCAAATGACAGGTTCTAAACAAGATAAAACGTATATCCTAGATTGTATTATTATTCATTATCCAGTTTTGATAATCATTGTTGTTAGAACAAATAACAGATTAAGATTTAAATAAATTGGATAGAACCTTTTATGAAACAACAGATCTAGTAAAGTTTTCTGTAGTACTCAATTCACTAGCGCTTCCTTTTGAACGAACAATAGTGCTTTATTAAAAGCCTATTTAAAGTTTCATGGTCTTTAAAATTATCATTTCAATGGAAATATTTCTATAAATTGTACTGTATTTGTTTACAAATATATTCTTGAGGAGAGAGTCGAAATAAATGACAATGATCATTGATAAATCAAAGAATATACACCAGTTTGATGAAAGATAAAGATAAACCTATTTGTCACAGAAGAATAAATTCAATCATTCAAAAAATAAGACTTAATATGTTAAGGGTCAGATAGTTATTCATAAACGATAATGACTAGAAATTATTCAAAATCTCGAACTGAATAAAATTATTTGAAAAAAACAAAACATCTACGCCAATCAATTCTGAAACTTTGGTTTAAAGATGTACTCATTAAGAGACCCAGATGTTGTAACATTAATCTCTTTCAATCACAGTGAATGTTCACTCCTTACAAGTCTCAAGCTAACAGACATATCCTAATGATAATTATCCATTGTATATTTTTTAAAAAAATCTTTAATATATATGTTGTATATGACACTATTTATTCTAAAGTTTATCTAATAAACTATTTTAATAAATAAGTAACTGATATCACTTGATTTCATAATTTGTGTTTACCTAAAACAAAAGTGCAATCAAAATTTATCAATGAACATAAATTGTTTTTTCTCCTTTTTTTTTAGAATTCTGCTTTTTTTTCTTTTTATATTTATAAAGCCGATTAATCATGTGATGGGTATGTAAAATTTGGTTAATTGAATAAATGAATATCATTTTTTAATTTTATTTTTTTTTGAAAATAAAATCAATTTGTTGCTAAGTGAAAATAAATAAATCAGGATTTATGTGTAGTTGATAACTTTCTTATTTCTATTACATTACTAATACTAATGATAAGCTAAAATGACTAACAGTCATCGTAATTTATATCACTCCCTCTCTCACTCTCCCTGCCTCTCCCTCTCTCTCTCTCACTATATATATATATATATATATATATATATATATATATATATATATATATATATATATATATATATATATATATATATATATATGATGATTTATTCTGTGTAACTGTACAGAGATAGTTTTGTTGAGATAATACATGTCTTCATGAACTTAAATTAGCTAAAGTATATTAAATGAGAAAAGACTAGTGGATAGTAGTTCCTCTCTACTTTTAGACTATATCACTAATTTACTTTTTGATTTACAATAAAATGGCTGTCAAATGTATTATAATTCTTATCTGCCTACCATCTGACATTAATTTTTTTTAACTAAAACTACTTTTAAGTATTTCATTTATTAGTCGGTCAGTTAATGACATATGTTTATGATTTATTTTAAAAATATACAAAAATAAAACTTACGAAAACATATTTTACTCTTTTTCTTATGAACTAGGTTACATTGAACACATAAAGCTACTTCTCTTTCGAACTCATCTTCACACATTACCCCTCATAGTTTTCAAAAGAAAAATGCAAAACAATCAATGACTCAATATTGAATCATCTTATTAATTCTGATGACATTGTCCAACTAGAAATATCTTTCAAGATTATTTACACGGTCAATTGATTAGTTATTGCAGAGGCTTTGGCAATTCAGCATCTGTGTAATCTCTCATCCTGACATGCTTTTAATACTCTTAGATTTTAATAACCAAGAGGTTCTTATAATTTTTTAAACTCAAAAAACCTTTTTTGCTATTACATCTCCGTGTTTTATTCCTTTCTTAAATTGATCAAGTCGAAAATAATCGTTCACGCTTATTCTCTAAAGAAGTGACTTAAAATGAGCTTAAATAAACGCTAGAAATACAGATTTTCGCCCACTGATACGTTATGAAATTATTATTTTCATTATAAGTAATTTACCAATACTCAATTTATTTCTTATTATATAATCAAACCATTTTTTTTAAAATAAACAGTTGCCAATCTTTTTTTTCAGCTCATTCTCATCTACTTACTATTACCTACGAAATCAAATGTAAAATATCTACATGTAGCAGTGAAAGAGATAAATTTTAGCGATTGATTTGTCATCCATTATTATACAACCACAATTTTCATATTTATAGACCACTGTTAACTGAAAATTACTTCCCCATTGATTCGATCAACTCTACAGGCTACAGTATCCCACTGGAATGTTAAGAGATATAACAATTTTATGAAAACACTTAAATGATTTCTAACATTTCTCCAATTAATATCAGTTATTGACAAAATAATTATAAAACTATACAGAACGTATACTCGAAGATATCAAAGTAAACCTGTTTGTTGTTCTTTTCAATCATATGATCAGTGAAAAGTTAATAACATACAACAGAAATAACACTAGTACTTTTATAGTAAGACTGTCATTACTGACTGTTTTCCTTCATCGTTAAAATTAGTTTTATTTATGATTTTCGGTACAAATACATTCTAACTCCTGACTTTAAATATAAACAAATAATTTTTAAATCCAAAATCTCCTTATTAAAGATAAATCATCTATGATCATTGTTTCAGCTCTAAATTGGTTGTCACTACTTAATCTTTCTCTTTGAATTGCGTTTATCTACCATAGAGAAGTTAATCACTAAAAAAAAGCATTGATGTTTAATCTGAAATCTCCTAATAGATCTGATCACTATATGATTCCTGTGAAATATATGAAACTGATAAACATATTTACGAAAAAAATTTATCTCCTTCAACAAGTAACAAGATTTCATTATAAAAATGAAACATTATAACCCATATAAACCAATTCTAAGCTAAAACGTAAAATTTCATTAATATACAGATTAATTCATCAATGAAACATCTAAGAATCTATTTAGTACTCACTGAAATCTTCTAGAAATTCAAATTTAATAATAAAATACATTGATGCTATTAGAAAGACTTGAATTTCATGTATATGAATTATCTAAAATTAAATATTTACAAAGTAACTGAATCTTGTATTTTACCCATATTGAACAATAAAACAACCTTAAAATATTATAGATACAACTATCATACTAATAAAAGGTCTTTTCAAAGATTTTCTTAAAAAAGTATATATATGTATATTGTACCACTACCTGCATAAAATTAAATTATACACTGAATAGTGTTATGTTCTTTCATAGAAAATGAATAAGAACATGTAATTGACAAATAAACATTCTATTATACGATTCATAAATAGAAAATAAACTAATAATCATTATCATATTAATGTGTTCAATAGAAGAAGAAGAAAAAAAAATAGTGTACACATTTTATTGGTTAAAAGTATCTATGATATAGAAATACAATGAATCATTTCAGTTAGTAACATGCTAACAGAATACACTTTGTGTACACTTATACATGAATAATGTAAAAATACAAACTAATCTATATATATGTATTATGAATTGATTTCGTTAGTTAGATAGATATCTCAAATATGTACATATATTAATCACTATGTATGGTAGCATATCGATTTATTTCTAACTAACATTAACTCATCCAATTCTAAAACATTTAAATTGTTTATTCATAATCATGTTACCATAGAACACAAAACACAAATTTATGTAAATGATTATATGTTATCAATAGAAAGTAAGCATATATTCAAGTTTAAAATTTACATACAAGCCAAATATTTAAACTAAATTATGCACCATTTACAACTCACCCGATATAAGAAAAAATCACACACAAACACACACAATGAGATCAATTTATCTAAAGAAAGAAATGTTGGTCAATTAAATTAGACACAATGAAAATACACACTTACAGGTAATCATGATTCCATTTTCACAATATATATATATATAAAGTTTAAATATTGAAATGAAAAGCATTCAGATTGAAGTGATTCAATTCACTTACTTATATTCTATATTGAAATAACATTTTAATATAAAGACATGGATAGTCCAATGGAAAAATTTATTCAAATTTATTTAACTTTAATTCGTGATAATGATGAAAGTGTTGAAACAAGTAAACTAAGTGAAAGTTGTAGAAGAGAAAAACTTGATATGAAACAAGTCAATGTAAGTAGTATCATTTAATCTTATGTTTACTAGAGTTTTACTGACAAAAAGAAAAAAAAATGTTTTGTTAGATACATATATATATGTATAACTATTTGTATTATAAGTAATATCGTTTGCCTGGACATGCCATTTTTATAAACAAACATTAAGCACAAATTATTCTGAACATTTCGATAGATATTTATGAATGTATATTTTAAAAATATATCAGATATTGTACTATATTTGGTTAAGCTACTAACCGTTCAAAAGTTTTGAAAAATGATCCTCTGAATGAAACTCGTTCAGACATTGTCTGATCGAATTCTCATGCTCATGTTGTTCTTTTCAGAAAAGAGTTGTTGTTTTTTTTCATTCATTTAAATTTAGGACTGGATTGCACTTTTTGATGTAGACAAAGATCAGAAAATCACATTTGAAGAATTTTGTCGAGGATTAGGATTGAAACAGAATGAAATGTAAGTACAAACGAATTGATTTCATTGATAATAAATTCATTTTATTTTTTTTAAAATTATTCATAATCGTTTAAGTACAGTGTGAAATATGACTTTCTCCCTTTTCATTATTATATTGTTCATTTGAATTTGACAGTAAGAAAACATGATCAAGTTAGTTAGCTAATGATGATACTTTAAATACTTGTCACTCGATTAATGTTAGAACTCAAAATATAATCTCTTTATTATATGGCTTAATTGACACCATAAAACAATGTTCATAGACACGTTCCTATTTTACTAACCCGAAAGCAAACAAATGAAAAATGTAACTAAGTTAAACATTAATGGAGTCGAAAAGTTATTATCAACTAAATTTAATGGGAACAAAACTCTACTCACTGTTTCTAACTACTAAAATTTACTATGTCAAAATTTATTTCTGAATGCAAAATAGCGGAATGCATCAGAGTAGATTAGTACTCAACATATTTGATGCATAATTCCTAAAATAAATAATACATTCACACTGAATTAAAATAGATTTAATAAAAGGAAATATTGTAACATCTTAATTCTATGTGATCAACAAGAAAAATGTCTGTATCCAACTGATGTGTAGTAGAGAATTTCTGTTTTAGTAAAAACAATTTTCACCTCATTACAGGAATTCAATGATTTCCGAAACTCACATAAACACGTTTCTACTCCAAAACATTGTTCTTTCCAATAACCTACTTAAGAAACATTAGTTAATTTGTAAGACACTGACTGATACTTAGTGAAATACAAACAAAATTCACGAAGTAGTCGAAATGATCGCTTTGAATTAACTATATGATTAACGACAATGAGACTCGAGATAAAATGAATCAATCATTCAATCATATTCAGCAACAGTTTCCGTATTCAATGCTAAAATAGGTCCTCACTACACACTCTATTTACAAAAGCTTCAGTATATCGTCATATATTATTCAGTTTAGATGATAATTCACTAATTAAACATCCTAAATTGACTAAGTTTAATGAATATGTCGGTGTAAATATCACTTCATAAAATGTTCGATTTGAAGGTATATGACAATGAATGTGACAAATCGATTACTTGGTCAACAGTTCATCAAAATCACACACAACTACTTGAAACGAATCAAAACAAAATAATTCGATAAGCAAACTAATCACCAATAGAACAGTCTATAATGTTGAAATGAATCTACTATGAAGGGATGATACTTGAATAATATTTACAATGCGGTAATAGTGTATACCAATCTACATTATTACTGTTCATCATCTCTGTTTCAAATCGGAATTTTACTGCTTTTATAGTTAGACGAATTCTCTACAATTGAATCTTGATGATTGAGTAGTGGAAACGAGATTGTTGTGAATGTTTGTTTTATTGAAGGAAACTGGTTATAGTGAAATGTTGAAAGCATGTATTTGATTGAAATGATAAATTGATTGATTGCTGAGTTTAATTTGTGTGCAAATTAGACTGTTTTATTCAGTGTAGTAATAGAGTGATGTACTGTGCTGGAGCCTATACATAGTACTTTAGAAAGAGATTAATTTGTTCACACATTTACTTGTACCTAAATGGTTCCAAAAACATATAGAATCAAATGACTTAATAAGAGTAGAGGATAAACATTCATCATCCTCTTTTTTCAAACACATAATTGAAACAGGTTATAAGATGGGTCATAACCCGGCTTTTGTAGTTTTGTACAAAAGTCTAAAAGGGAGTATACTAAGGTTTATTGAAGACTAAGCTATACGAAATTTTAAATCCCCATCATGTATTGAAAAACAGTTTATTCTAAGCTTAAACTAAGCTTATTATCAAGAGTGCTGAGGTTTCAAATCGTTTTCACATTATTTTCTTTACTATCCTTGTCTCCTTTTACCCTCCATTTCTAGTCTGGTTGATCTTTTGTTTTTACATATAAATGATCTTAACGAATACATGTGTGACCAGATTGTTCGGAATGTACTGCACCAATATATCATATAGTTTTGATAATCTTCGTCTTCTTATTACACTGTCGAAATTTATCAAAGGAACTAATTGCTTTAAATTTTACTTCATTATAAAGTTGTCTTCTTTTCTACAGTGACTATTAGTAGTTATAATATTGTATAAAAAAGTGGCTGTATTTTGTTTCTCAGTGAAATAACACTCAGCTAAGAAAATAAAAGTTTTAAAATATAAAAAGAACTTACTCATTTTTACAAGTATATTTACAATAATATAAAAATGAAGTCAAATTTTGCTTGGTATATTATGTACTTACTTAGTTACTTACGCCTGTTACTCCTGAAGGAGTATATACCACCGACCATCATTCTCCTATTCACTCTGGCGAATGCTGGTCAGCAGTATATATCTTGTAACTATATATAATAGATATATAACATTTAATAATGTTTATAACTTTAATCTTTGTGTATTAATATTCTGATACAACGATATTAAAAGTCTTCATATATGTCAATGTAACAAAATTTATTTAGATCATTTATAATACAACCACTAAACGTATACAGAACAAGTGTTTATTGATTTGTAGTACTATAAATACACAATATGATCTATGTATCTTTGAGAATAAATGGTTGTTATTTAAAAATCAGTGTTATTCAGTTACTACTAAACCAATATATTGTTTAGTTTTAGAATCTCTTATAGCCAGATTTCTATTTATCATAATCTGATACCATGATAAACTATAAGTTTTACAGAACCTAACTTAAGTAATTACATTCATTTGTATACATTACAAAGCACTTGTCGATATTCCATTAAAACGTTAAAAGGATATGTAAGTAATCATATCAAGACATTAAGATGGTGTTTGTTGATGTTTATTTATATTATTCTACTAATATTTATTTACAATGAAGAAGATAAAACTGATAGGAATGGAAACTCTTTTAATTAAAACTACTTCTGTTATTTTTTTTATTTCAGGCGCATTGAACGAAATCACATTAAAACTGTACAATCAGGTAAAGAACCAAATTTGCCAGAAGGAGTAAAAATTATCGCTTCAACAATGCCGAAACCAAAACAAGTTGAAGTAACACTATTATATAAAGATATATTTGATGGAGTTAAAAAAGATCCTGATATGAATAAAGTTGTAAAAACATTCAAAAGTGAATTAGAAAAACGTTATGGACGTGTATGGCAAGTCAATGCTGTAACTCACTCATACTGGGCAAGTTTCTCACATGAACCATTCCAATCAATTCAATTCCAATATGAAAATAAAATCATTCTTGCTTGGCGTACACCAAGTAACTAAAAAAGAAAGGAATAGAAGGTTGAAGTATGACCCAGTAACCAGGGAATGACATTTTGTTTAGAAACAAAACCGATATTAAACAATTCCAAAGTTATTAATTCTATTGATATCATGAATAAAATATTTGTCTTTCCCTTTTCTATCTTTCAAAAAAATTTAATGTTCTTCCAAATATCTGAACAAACTACTCTCTAGTAATAATTATTATGAAAATGTTTTAAGAAGTATAAATTTAGTAAAAAAATAATTACTCTTTACACTTATTGTGTAACTTTTAATCATATATTGGGCTTATTATTTGTCAGATTAGATTTATTTCATTTATTGGTGATACATCTATCAACACCGAGGTTAACATTCTGTACAAACAATTACTATGGAATTTCATATGATTTGTAGATAATATTCGTTGACGGCTGTCATTAATTTGGTTACTATTTGGATCTAGGCAGCAATGGACAGTTTTTCAGTTCCAGAATGAGGTCTTACCAACAATAGACACCTATGGTTGCGCTAAAGTTTAATCACAGATCTTGTAGGTAATTAATTGGTAGCATTATCATTGAGATCTAAATTAGTAATCTAAGGTTCATTAGAGTACATTTCACTATTTCACTCTATTTAAGTGACTATGGAATTATAAATTATCTTATTTAACTTGTAGGCTTGAATGAATATGAAAACCATTTCTTTGAGGATTTTAAAATCATCTTGAAAAGTTGGTACCGTTTTTGATATTTGTCTGAACACAAACACAGTTGAATGTCATAATACTATTGATGTTAGACAAAAAAAGAAACAGAAGTTGGTGAATCTTATGAAAAAAACACTTAGTATAAAGCAGTTATAGATACTGTGAAAAACATGTCTGATACAAACTTTAATTCTCTTATCAAATATAAGTGATTCGGAAAATTGTTCACATTGTAATAAGTTTCCATCAAGAACTGTTTAGAGAAATCTATGAAAACTGAGAAATGACAAAAAACAAACTGTTATTATTAGTTTACAATTTATAAACAGTACGCAAAGATGACAGACATCACACATAGTTTAATCATAAACTGTTGGGTCTAGCAGTACGCGTAGTAACCCTATATATATATATATATATATATATATATATATATATATATATATATATATATATATATATATCTTACAAGACACTAATAATCATCTGCAACCTAAACTTGAAAAGAAAACACAAAAAAGAGCACACTAAGTGAAAACAGGAAGTGCTGTCATAAGTTTTGATTGTTTTGTAATGTACAAGTTAATATAATTTTATTTAGACTAATAGATCTCTATATAGATACTTAAATACGGTATAGTTTGTGATGAATTAGGCATGACGTAGGAGGGTAATAATATAAGCTTCAAAATAATAAAAACACATAATGTCGACACGAAATTGACTTTTTTAAAAACTTTCAATAATAACAGTGGTTAAACATTCGAAGTCTGTAGAGATTCATTAGTAAAGTGAAATATAATTCATGTAAATAATTTCAAGACAGAATAAAAAGAAGGAATTTTTAATGTATGGTACAAATGATGAAAGAGAATTTATTCCAAGGATATGATACTATTGTAGTGAACAAGAACACCAGTGGGGTACAATCGAATATATTTGACATAAAATTACAGGACTTGTTAATAAAATTTAACAATCATATAGTAAATACGTAATTTGCAAAGTGTTCATCAATTGTTTCATAATGACTCAGACTTCATTGTTCTTGCATTTTCATACACATTGCATTCTGTTTCTACTCTTTACTGTTCGATCCTCTTGTCTCTCTACTGCCAGACCTTCTGTTCACGACTAACATCATATACACCACGCTTTCATTGTAATTAAATGTTCAAGATGTTTACCTTTTATTATTCATGTAATTAGTGTTATCTGTTTGATTTCGAATATTGTTGAACTTTACTGAATACAATTTCTCACTAAAACTTCCTAGAATTCATCATGAAGCTACAAACTATTTAACTCACAACTATTATCATCCTATTAGTCAATGTTCAATACATATAGTGGTTTTTGATAGATTATATAGAGAAGAAATAGAGAGTGAATAAGCTTTTTAACATCTTTTCAGAAATGTGATAATTAAAATTATCTAACTAATAAGATTTCATAGTTTTCTATTAAAGAAAGTATTTTAAACCTTCTTAACTTTTCATGTTCCAATCACTTAGACCATCGGTAAATCATATGATTATGCTAAAATATTTCCCTAGATTTAGTTTATATAATATATAGTTTAATTCATTATGAAACTGGAAGAGTCAAAGGAAAATGTGAAACGTACCTTTTATATTGAAATATTCAGTCTATGAAAAACTAGGTTTATTTTCTTCAATAATTAACATCAAGCCATATAATACAAATACTGACGTATGTTATAAGCTTGATTTCTGTATAAGCCAAAATATACCATTAATTACATGATATATCAACTATATGAAACATGATGTACTGAACGAGAACGCTAGTGGGGACGATCGAATGTATTTGAACAAAAAATCACTGAATCACATAGTAAAAAAGTAGGAACTATACAGTAGATACTTCATTTGCAAAATATCAGTCAATCGTCTAAGACTTCATTGTTCTTTCGTTTCTATATCAACCATTCTTCGTTCTCGTTTGCGTTTCTTCTATCTTCTTAACTTCCTGCTACCACGTATTTCACTATCAACTGATGATATATACTACTTATATTTGTTGACATCAGTAGCACACATCACAATGCTAGTAATGTATACTGAGTACATAAACCTCTCCTTTTCATCTAAATATTAACCGGGATTCCATATTTCTTGTCTGGAAATAGAATCACTTTCAGAATAAGTTCAAAAATTTTGACTTCCTGAAAGAAATGATGGATCTTAGGAACTAAGTGTTATTTTCCTTTACTTTAACTCTTATCAAAGCTTTCATATTAAGTCGAAGTAAATCTGTTTGTGTTTGAATGAAACTCAAGCCAATAACTGTTTATTGAAACAGATTATGTTTCAGAATAATCATCTGTGCAAAGATTGTTCGTTTGAGTATGTGTTCCACTAGTGAAAAAAGTCTAATTAATATAAATTTTAGTTAGATTTGTGTATTCAATTGTACGTATTCGTCAATATAAATAATAATCTACTGAAGTCATGATGTAGTTACAGTGAATTCTTATGCAAGCGGAATGCGTGAATTCTGGGTAGTAGAGGCAATCGATCAGAAGTCTTAGACCAAGATTTTAGTCTAGTTAGAAATCACTATCAAAGTGTAATTGTACTTATCCGGAAATCAATGTTCACCATATAATGCGATCCAACGTCATTATGTGACGGATTTTACAACATCCAAAAAAGTATAGATTTACGACCCCATCGGCTATCACATCAAGTAAGTTCAGGTCTGCCGGTGTTCAGCTTCAGTTAATTCACAACACGACTCAATAATATATGAATCATTGTTTGTCTAGACGATATTATACAATTGAGACCAACTTTAGAATTTATAGGTAAATTTTCATCGCTTCGTCAACTTTGTTTAGCGCTGAACACAAATTGTCAGTATAACTAGTTAATAAACTGCTCAATGTATTTTTCATTGCGAAGAAGTGATACCATTTATCCCATGAGTATATAATGTTTTAGATAAATATCATTTTCTATATTTTCCTTATGCTAATTATTATTGATAACTTCTCTTGTAAGACTTGTTATTGCTACCGTACATTATGGAAATAATCCTGCACTCTAAAATGATGTCACCTATGACTTTGAATTTTGTTTCACTTTACTAAGCACTCCATAAATCATGTCTTTTAAAATAGTGTACGCTAATTATTTTAACCATTCCCTTTTATTTTGCCTCAACTTGACAATGTCCATAAATTGACTAGGATTCCGTAATTATTTTCAGAATATACCGTTATTACTACTACACAGACTACTATCAACATATTATATTTATTGAACTAACATATACATTAGTGCAAGTTATATATCCCCAGTATATATTTTGATTACAATCTATTCAAATTTCTATCTATAACACTTAAACGTATTACTACAACTACTACAATCATCATCAAAAATGTACAAGTATTCATAAACAACTGTCTACGTAAGATACTGGATATCCTTGGCCGCATACCATCAGCAACGACCCGTTCTGGGAGAGAAAAAACTATGTGAAGATGAAATGAGGAAAAGACGTTAGAAGTGGATAGGACACACATTACGGAAATCATCAAACTGCATCTAGAGGCAAATGCTAACTTGAACTCCTGAAGAGAGAAGAAGGGGAGGAAGGCCAACTAACACAACATGGAAGCAGACATCGTAAAGGTGAATAACAGCTGGAAATAATTGTCCAGCACAGAGTTCGATTAAGAGCGCCACTGAGCAGCCTATGCTCCTCCATGAGGGGCAACAGGCATAGATAAGTAAGTATTTATTATTATTAATGGCTTTATTCAATATTATATTTTGGTACAATATAGAATTGTCAGCATAGGGTATTTCAACAAGTTTCTTATACAAAAAACAAAAATAGAAACAATGACAGAAAAGGAAAAACAGGTTTGAAAACACCTGAAAAACTGTACAACTTCAAGTTAGAGACATATTAAGAATGCAGGTTATTGACTAGGTTAACTCTAACAACCTGTTCGTCACAGAGCGTATTTGCTAGGTAAGGTATTATAGAACTTTTATACGTTTTCTTGTGTGCATGGGTTTTAATGTAATTACATCGCGTTCTACCAGAAGATTTACAAGGAGAAAGATATGAGTGAATGGGATGGTTAGTATCTGATAAGATAACAATTGCTAGGAGTTTGCATGACTTTAGATGTCTATCCACAATCATATTAATTATGAACTCGAAAGATTCATCACGCATCTTGCTAACTGCCTTCAGCACTCTCCGCAATACAGCGAAGAAATTTCTCAAGAGCCCGGGAGAGAATAAAGGAGAATAATAAAGAATAATAGGCAATATGCAAGAATTCACAAATTGTAATAGTAAACGACGAGTAATCCCAAGAGCATGCAATCTCTTTATGTAGTAAGTCCAACTGAAAACCTTATTCGATAACAATAAAACCTGAGAAGAACAAGAGAGATCAGAGGAAAAGGTAACGCCAAGATAATTGATATTCGACACTGCGTTTTTCAAAGAGTCTCCGATGGTACAAGCATTATGGGATCTCAAAATTGTGTTTAGATTCCGTTCATATCTCAGGCTAAATTT